TCACCATTCACACAGTACTTGTATTAAATAAACAAAGAACAATCGCTCTGCAAATAAAAGTACTTAGGTGGGGAAAAGAAAAAGAGGGAGGCAGAAGACGAGAAGAGCTGGAGATGGAGCTTCTTCCTCACTTATTTGTTTATCTGCTGAAGTTGGGAAGGGGGGGGGTCCTAAAATAAAGGGGAGGGGGAGGGACTTTGGGAGAGAGGCCAAAAAATATGAGACGTTCTGATGAAGTGAAAATTGACTGCGCTAACACGGCATGAAACTAAAGGTCAATGCAACTGTATCTTAATAGAGTGTCTCGAATCGAGGTGGACTATTTTAAATGCAGCTTGCTTTTGCTGCGCTCATTGCCATAGCAATCCTAACGCTCCATGTTGATGTACCATAAAAGCAGTAGTTTGAATTTCAAAGAACCTGCCTTTGAACTTCTCCCTGCCTGATTAGGCACTTGCGTGGTGTGTGTGTGAATGCGGGAGCGTGGTTGTGTGCGCTCAGGGTACGCGGGATGCGGGGGGAGCGGTGGCAGCGCCCCGCTGGCGTTTGGGTGTCCGAGCCAGGGGGGAGCGTGTGTGTCCGCGTGTGAGCGTGAGTGTGCATCCCAGCACGCTCCCGATCCGTCCTGGGCTGCTCTACCCGAAAATATTTTTCCGGGGTGATGGAAGGGGAAGGGGAGGGGGGGAGAGGGGGGTGAATTGTGTGACAGTCCATCCTTGCCAGCACTTCACAACTCCCTGGCGACATCTCTAGCAGCACGAAACACGCGGAGAAAACCCCTGAAAATCCTCGCTTTTCCCCACCATCCATCCTTTGAAAAACAAAGCAGCAGGCTATCCCGGCTGCCCTGCGTCCCACACCCTGCCCGTGGCGGGTGCGTTGGGCGCGACTCTCGCCGAGAACTCCCCTCTTATCCATATCCACAGCCCCCCTCCCCGCAATGCCATTTCCCACACTCCCGAAATTTCTTAGTGCCTTCAAACTTCGCTACCGCCGCTCTCGCCTTTAAAGGGCCGAGCGCCAGCAATAGTGTGTGGCGAGATGTCTCCCAGCCGCGACTACAAAGGTAGATGATTTAAACAGTGTTTGCTAGGACCACGTTTCGCCTAGGAAAAGATGAAGTCTTTGATGATGGCCAACTCGGTGTCAATAAGTGGCTTTCTTTGAGCCATATTCAGATGGGAACGTCTTGCTTGCCAATTGCCATAGAAATCCTAACACACCATGAAGATTGTCCAAGCGCCAAGCCTTCCGTTCTGGGCTAAATTACTTTGAAGTGGGGCAGGACGTGCACTGGTCAATGTTAACTCTATAGGGCGGGCAGGGAACACTAGGAGAGGGAGGTTGGAGGGGGGGAAGCAGAAAATAAGAAGGGGAAACTTGTTTTAGACACTCTATACAAGGTTCTGCTCATTGTCAGATATCTTTTATCTTTTATATTTCCCATGAATGATTCATGTCTCGGTGGCTTTGTGTCGCCCTCCTTTTCACAAGAAACTTCATTAGGGAGCTATAAGTTTTCCCATTGATTGGAGCCCTCATTTATGAGTGTTTTTCTGCTTCGTATGTTGGTTATTGTCATTCTGCTTGAAACAACTCTTTGCAACCTGTTTCACCTTTACCACATTTAACAAAACTGACTTAAAAAACACTCTAACCTTTTGGTGAAACTGTTCTTGACATTTTGACCAGTCATTTTCGAGTACTGGTAAATTACGGGGCGGGGGTGTAATCACTCTGGGCTAGTTTTATTTAATTTATTTTATTAAAAAAGAAAATTAAAATAGGAAACAATCCTGGAGGATGCCAACACACGATTTCGCCCGGATTTTTTCAGGGGTTTTACTCAGTTTCCCTCTCTCGAAACGAGAAACCTGTCCTCACTCAGCTTCTGAAAACTTCGGGGTTTTTCTCCTCCTTTATTCCATGATTTCCTGGCGTTATTTCTTGTCTGACCTCACTCTGTGTTTCAGAATCATCTTCTGGCATACGGTTTCGCTTATGTAGCTACTACCGAAGAGTAGTGCTATTTAACTCATGAGTATCCTCAAGAGAATACTGCCAGGAAAATCTCCCTTTTTTGTTGTTGTTTTGTTGCTGCTGTTGTTGTTGTCGTCGTTTTGGTTTGTTTTTTTTTTTTTTTTTTCCCCAACAGAAATAAACAATTTAATTGATCAGATTTTATATTCCGATTAGCTGTCCTTGAGAGAGATGGAGAATGTCATGTGTGTAAATATCTGACCTGTGCCTGTGTCGTATCTCTGTCTGTCTGTCCCTCCCTCTCTTCCCTCTGTGCCCAGGATGCCAGCAGCAGAGTACCCAGCTGCTCCATCATGACCAGGCACCCCAAAATGCTCTGCCCGCCCCCGCCCTTAGCCCGGCTCACGGGCAAACACCCCCAAGAGCGAGTCAGGCAGCCTCAGGGGAGGCTCTGCCCGAGCATCCCTCCTCTGCCGGGCTGCAAACCCAGGGCTAAACCCGGAGGAGAAGCCTGTTTGCTCACACGATTCTCTGGGCAAAGCCGGAGTAACTCAGCCGCCCTCAAAACCTCTCGGTGCTGCTCCTGCCGACCTGTGAGGCTGTGGCTGGGTCTGAATCTACCTGCTGACCTCGGGGGGAAGAGGGGGTGTTTTGGTCTGTCTCTGCCCCTTGTCTTTTAGTAAGGCACATGCAATACATAGGAATAATATTTTTATTCATTTGCATGATTTTTTTTTTTGTTTTTGTATTTGTTTGTTTTTTTTTTTAATGGGGTTTACAGAGATGAAAAGTTTTAAATTAGCATTTTTTTATTATTATTTAGGAGGTATCATGTGTCATAAAACTGTTGGGCAAGTGTGTGACCCTACGTGTAGCAAACACATAAAAATAGTGATATATCCCCCCGAGCCATAGTTTATAAACCCTGCCATGTCGTAAGGTATAGTGCAATCTGTTATTGAAAAAATGCATAAATTAAAAAGTTCGTTTATAAATCAGCACCAATATAACTCTAATAAGATTACATTACATAAATTATTTTTTAAAAAAGTTCATACCTCACTTTATTATTTTCTATTTATTCAAATGGGCTTTGAAAAACGAATAAAAAGCAAATTGAATGAGCTTTAAAAAATTATTTTCTATTCAAGTTTTCTGTTTGTTTTCAAAGTAACGCCTGCTTCTTTAGATCCAACACAACAATATGAAGACAACGTTTAAAGGCTTCCAGAGTGACAGCACCATGCACTGTACTAATAATATAATATCTCTATGAACTATACATAATTTTATATATTATCAGCACCAACACACCGCACGGAGGACATGCAGGAAGAGTCTGTTTCACATTACATCGTTCATTCAAGTAAGCTGAAAAATATAATGATTTCTTTTTTGTACAAACCACATCATCATAAACAACAATCTATCACCAAAATTAATAAGATAATTCTTTGGTGTGCTCTGTACTGTTACAGGGGAGTCAAAAAAAAAAAAAAAAAAGGAAAAGGGGGAAAAAAGGGTGATGTCAGAAAATAAATTAATTTGACTGTACAAAATAATCGCGTTCACATACACGTTATTAACAATGACAAGACGACATCCACCATTCACGGCACACAAAACACATTTCCACAAGCCCTGGGGGAGGGGAGGGAGGCTGCCGCTTCTTCTCTCAGGGTCTCTGAGGAGGAATTAGTGCTCTTTACTTCATTTGCGCCCCGCTCCTGACTCAAGGGCTCTAGGCCGGGGTGTCCCCCTTGGCCGGCAGCCCTGGGCTGCAGGGCTGGGTTGGTGGCAGCTTTGGGGAGGTTGGCACCCCGAGCCCAGCCTGGGTACCCACCCCTGACTTCCATCCCAGCAGCTCTGGTCCCCACCTCCCAGGTGACTCTGCCGGGCCACTTCAGGGGGATGGTGAAAAGCACGCAGGCATCAGCTCGGTTGGAGATGAAATAATATACATAAAAATAATAATAAAAAGATAATCCCTCTATGCCTGCCCCCTACTACGGGACTCGTCAGGCCGGGGGCTGCTCCCCCTCCCAACCCCCCAGGGGGCTGGAGGGAGCATGAGGCAAAGTCTTCGTCTGAGAGACGAACTTTAAAAAAAATAATAATTATCAGAGTAATAAAAACACCAACCCCAAGGAAAGCAAAATTCGCAGAGTTTTCTTGTGGGTTTTTTAGGGAACAAAATTCAAAAATGTATCACAGTATCACAGTTGTCAAATAGCAGCGTGTTTCTTTTATTGTCTGGCTACGTTCTAGGAGCCATACAAGTACAAACCGTGGAGGAGTGAAAAAGGAGTCCTGCGTCTTTTGTCTTTCCTTTCGTAAATCGTTTGCACAATGTTACGGCTAAGGGTGAAAGACAGGCTGGAGAGAAAATGCCGGGTGCAGGTGGGCCCCCCCCGACTCGGGAGAGAAACCCTCAATTACAAAGGAGCTGAACTGCAAGAGGGGTGGGGAAATGCATTTATTTTATTTTATTTTAAGGAATGCACAACCTGTCCTTGACTAGCCGGAGCTTTAGCAGGTGCTGCTTTACAGTCAAGAGGCTGCTGCTGACCTGGGGCTTTACCCAGGCCAAAGAAGAGCCTCTGGGGTGGCAGCTAAGGTACCTAAGAGCCATTCCAGAGCTCGCCTGGGTTCTGCCTGTTTGCAGCCTTCGCCAGCTTAATCTTGTTAAGAGCAATGGGCATGGGCAGAGTGGAAGATGGGCATCTCCATTGATACCGTCCCCCTGCAAAATTGTGCGGCTCGGGTGACTGGGACAGCCCAGCCTGGCGTTATTAATGCTTTTATTTACCAAAAAAAAAAAAAAAAAAAAAGGTCCGAGTCTCTTTAATTAAATTAGTTACCATACAAACACCATAGGGTTTCGTACATGGAATAAATAGCGCGAGTCAAACCTGATGGCACTTCCACGGCAGCCCCCCGTGCCAGGTGGCTGCCTCTGCGGCCCGGGCCAGTGCGGTGGGGCCGGGGCCACCGGCAGCTTGGCACGGCTGGGCACGGCCCTAGGGAGCAGTTCTGCCTCCCGAGGTCCTGTGGGGCTCATCCTCCTCGGATGCCGGGGAGGTGTCGCGGCTGGAGGGGGTGCGGGGCCGGCGGGGAGCCCCCCCGGCCTGGCAGACGTACCACTCGCTGAGGTTGGTGACCGGCGGGGAGAGCGCGGCCCGGCGGCCGCGGGGCGGCTCGGCGGCCGGCTCGGCCTCGGGGGGCAGCGGGCCGTCGGGGGGCCCCGCCGCCGCGTAGCCCTGGGAGCCCGGCGGCGGGGAGGGCGGCGGGGACTTGCAGTGGATCTTCATGTGCTTCCGCAGGGAGCTGGGGTGCGTGTAGGACTTGTCGCAGCCGCGGATCTTGCAGTAGTAGGGCTTGTCCGAGGTGTGGACGTGGGAATGCTTCTTGCGGTCGCTGCTGTTGGCGAACTTCCTCTCGCAGCCGTCGAACTCGCACTTGAAGGGCTTCTCCCCTGCGGGGACACAGGGGACACGCGGCACGGTTACCGGCCCTGCCTCAGGCCGCCCGCCGCACCGCAGCCCCTCCGCAGCGCGGCCTCCGGGGGCGAGCGGCAAGGGCAAACCTTCCCCTTCCCTCCTTTCCTCCCCTTCCCCTTCTTTCCTCCCCCTTCGCCACAGTCGTGACATGCCCGAGGTTTCCGACTTTTTCCCCGTGTTTTGCCGCCTGTCACACGTCGCTGGCAGCCCTCAGGCCCCGAGTCCCGGGCTGGCGGCTGCAGGGCCCCCCCGGCCTTGTTTGCCCTCTGCGGCGCTCCCCTCGCACACGAGAAACCTTCATTACCGCTCTAATGACCGAGCCCAAACAAAACCTCTCAATGCCTTTGCCTGCGAGGGCTGGCGTTTGCCGGCAGCCTGGCTCGCCTGGCACATCTCCTGCGTAATCCTTTCCCAATGGGCACTGCGCTGGAGGAATAATTAGTTTGGGGAAAATAAAAGTAACACCTGTTTAAGCATCCCGACACAAAGGAGGGAGCACCGCGCAGCCCGGACTGGGAACCTGCAGGTTAGGGGGACCAGCCCAGACATCGGAGATGAGGGCAGCATAGCTGGTTACCCTGGGCAAATTTGGGTCTAAACGTGTGCGGATGATCTACTTTGAAGAGTTTTTTAAATCCCAGTTAAAGGGATTGTGAAAATCAGCCCGGGGCGGTTAGCCTGGCGTACCTTTCCCACACACGCTCGTCTCCTGCAGCATACCCTGCATACGTTCTGCTGCTTATAAGCATGTCCTTCCCCATAGCTCCCGAGCAGACCCTTCCTCATAGATCCTGAACAGGACTGGGTAAATGCCTCTTGCTGAGACACCAGAGGAAAAAAGAAAAAAGTGCCAGATCCCTGTACGGAATCTTCTTACAGCGAGATTTTCTCACTCTGCTACACGTGAGTCCAGCACAGACAGACCTGCACTGATAATCTTTGTCATTATTATCGTGACTCTTGAGTCGCTTTAGACATGGCTGATGTGTATTTTCAGATGTGATTTGCTCTGAGGGCTCAGAAATAATGACCCAGCAGCTCTCTCGGTGGACATTTTCTCCTTACTAGCAAGCGATTTTTACTGCTCCTCCCCTTTGTAAGATCGTATCGCGTTTATTATTTATTAAAATAATAATGGAAATAAGAAAAGTATTTTTATTTTTAGAAGCAATTTCTTGGATGTTACTATAGAAACATACACCTCCACAGCCTATTTATGCATCAATTTGTTCAATTAAAATCGACTCACCTACCACCAATGTGGTAGCGCTAGAAAGTGCAAAGTTTATGAAAAAAAAAAAAAAAAAAAAAAGGAGAAAAATAATTAAAATTGTGCTTGGTGGGTTTTAAGTGCATGAAAACCTCTGCACACCCCCAAAACAAGCTGCCAGTCACTTCGTTTGTTCATTAATTACTATTAATTTTTCTGGGAAAACAAAGCAAATCTACTGGAGGTTTTGGGCAGTTTCTAACTGTGTTACCCCAAGGATGAAGGCTCACACATTCTGCTGGCTGGCCGTGACCTGCAGAGCCCGAAGCGCAGCCCCCTGAAAAATGCTCCAAACTGCTGGACCAAACCGTGCCCACTCTGTCAGGGGTTTAGGGAAGTGTCTTTCCACTGGGGTTCACGCTTGGGCACCCTCCCCAGACTCCCGATCGCGACGATCAAATTCCCCATAAGTCCAGGACTGGCGAAGGTCCCCGTGTGTCGCCGTTACGCTGACGAGGGCATCACGTCAGAGTTTAACCATTTGTAGGTGGTTTTAACCCACGGAAGGGGGCGAGATGCCAGGCGCCGTCCCCTGACTCCTGCTGGCAGTAGCAGTGCGGGTGGCGGGGAGGGGCACAGATGGGGCTTTTTTTGGAGGTCGCTTTTTTTGGAGGTCACTTATTTTGGAGGGTCTAGAAATCGCTGGAAGGATGCCTGACCATCCTGAGCATCGTCCTTGGCGAGGAAAAAGCAAAACTGCAGAAGGGACTAGGTCCCCATTCCCCCTAGAATGCACCGGGTTTGGGAACAGTGATTTGTCCTCAGAATAGGGCAGTAGCTACAGAGCTTGCTATGCAGCCCCCCCGGCGGATGCTTCTGAGGAAAAAGAAAAGGAAAAAAAAAAAAAAAAAAAAAAAAAAAAGAGAAAAAGGTCCCAAACAAACGCTTTCTGAATTACTGAAATACTCTTCTTCTTCTTCCAGAAGGATTACCAGAAACATGCAAAACCGCCTAAGTATACGTTTATGGTATTACTATTTTCCACACCCCCCCCACCCCGGGCGTGCCAAATGCCCATAATACACGAATAGTTTGTAAATCTCTCCTGCTGCACATGACTAAGTTAAAGCTGAAGTGGCAAAATGACAGTAATTAATCTGATAGGAACGGGGAGAAAGTTTAGGATCCCTTGTCCACTCGAAGGCATGGGGAGGAATACGTAGGGAAATACTCCTGTCGCCTTTGCCCTCCCATGGGCCGAGCTGTCATTCGAGGTGGGCTATTGCCCCCCACCCCGAGGGCTGCTTTGGTGCAACGACCCCTTCTGCGTGGATAGAGCCTTTCTTCGTGGGCTCACGCACAGACATTCTCCCGGGACTATGGGTAGCCCCAAGCTGAAAACTTCTCCAAATTTTCATTGCAAGAAGCCGCGTCCCTCACATTGCCTCGGGGCAATGCTCCACCTCATCTAAGAGCTGCGAGCTGCGCCTGACACTCATTTGGGCTTTGATGGGGGGCTCTTTTTCCCGGCTGAATCTCTCTGCCTCCATGCAAGCCTCTCCCGGATTTCTTCCTACCTCCCTCCCGCCTGCCCCTTGGAGATGAGATGGGTAAGGAGTTGAGGAGCCTAGAAAAGTCCGCGGTGAACTTCAGTTTTTCAAATAGATGACAAAACCGCGGGCCTCCAGCTAACTCATTCCACGGTGTCGTTAACACGACAACAACAAAAAGTGTCAGCCCTCACCCCCTCCTCTCCCACAGAGAAATCTCCTCCCCATACCCCATCCCCGGCTCGGGGTGTAGAGCACTAGGCACCCTCAGGGCTCCGCTGCTACGTATGGGCTCGTGCCTGACATATTCTGGAGATAAAAATCTATAATCCTTTCAGCCATGGGCCATTTGGTTTTACATCGGAACAACACGTTGTACGGTCGCCGCTTTTCTCTTCCCGAGCAGCAAACAATAAATCAAGAAAGCAATTACGGCAACTCCACTTCCTTAAGTATCCTCCAAGGAATAATATTTGTCTGCCACTATAAATCCCGGCTTCGTTCGTTTTCGGCAGCGTTTTACACCCAGATGGAAATGCGTATTTCGGGAGTGGCGAGGAATGAGGAGAAAGTGGGGGAAAAAACCCAAACCAAAGCAAACCAAAAAAAAACACCATCAAAACCAAACCCAGAGAAATAAAATACTGAAAGGCTCAAAGACACCCCAAGCCCTTCCAGGGGCCCCCGGCTGTCCCCCGAGGCATTCCCCGGGGGTGCCGCTCCCTCCTCCCGTACCCCGCCGAGCACTCGGGGCGACTTTGAAGTTTGCTTCTCAGATCCACAAAGGGAGGGAAGCGTCCTCCGGTGAGAGCCTTCCCCCCGCCTCGCTCCCTGCTTCCCGAATCCGCGGGTACTGCTGCAGGCGGGAGCAGCCCAGGCAGCACCAGAAGCCTCGGCACCGGCGTCAGTCCGCTAGCCCAGCGGCACGGGCAGCGCCGGCAGTGCCCTCAGCATCCCCCGTAGTTCCGCAATATCGGTAGCCCCGGCCGCGGGGCACACCCGGCAGCATCGTTGGTCCCGGTAGTAGGGACAGTCCCGGAACGGGGGTAGCCCCAGGAGCGCTGGTCACAGGGGCAGTCCGGTAGTCCCGGTAGCACCGGCAGACCCGAGCACCGCCACCGCCGCCCGCAGCGCAGGGGAACTGCGCCCCCAAGAGCCCCCGCGGCCCCATCTCCGTCGGGCCAAGCGTCACCCGCCCGGCTCCGTCCCCGCCGACAGAAGCGGCAGGAAGAGCGGAACCGCCGTCCTTCGGCGTGGCGGGGGGAAGTGGCAGAGCGCAGCGCTTCCCAGACGCGGGTGAGCCCCCCGGGGTGCCCCGGACAAGGGCGGCGGGAGCAGGGAAGGGCGAGCGCTCATCCTCTCCTCGCTCTTCCGCAGGGGCTGCTGCTCATCTTCCCCAGGCTCTGCGTTATTTATTAATCGGTGTATTTATCCGGTGCTGCCGGGATGGGGGGAGGTGAAGGGGGGGCTGAAGGGGGGGGACGCGACACGTGTGTGCAGGACAGAGGGGCCGGGTGCGTGTACGTAGCTGTGTGTGCGTGGCCCGTGTGCTGCCGAATTACTTATTCATGAAAAAGTCACATGTTCGGCGGTGCGTAGGAGAGGAGGAAAAGAGGAGGAAAGGGGAGGAAAAAAAAAAAAAAGAAAGGGACCCGTGGTGGGGGGGGGGGGGGTGTTGGGGGGTGGTGTGAAGAACAACCCACCTGTATGAGTCCGCTTGTGGATCTTGAGGTTTTCGGAGCGAGCGAAGACCTTCCCGCAGCCGGGGAAGGGGCAAGGGAAGGGTTTCTCTCCCGTGTGTACTCGGATGTGGTTGATGAGTTTGTATTTCGCTTTGAAGGGCTTGCCTTCACGGGGACACTCCTCCCAGTAGCACACGTGGCTGCTCTGCTCGGGCCCACCGACGTGCTCCACGGTGACATGGCTCACCAGCTCCTGCATCGTGCTGAAAGTTTTGGAGCAAGGCTTCCTACCGCCCGGTGGCGGCGGAGGAGGTGGAGGAGGCGGCTCCCGGTCGATCCACTTGCAGATCAGCTCTTGCTTGATGGGCTGTCGCATGTATCGCAGGAAGGCCCCAGCCGCCGCCGCCGCCGCCGCGGCCCCGACGTGGGCATGGTGGTGGGGGTGGTGATGGTGGTGGTGGTGGGGATGGGGGTGGTGCGGGTGCCCGTGGCCCGCCGCCGCCAGGTTGAGGTTGACGGAGCCGTAGCCTTGCAACGCCGAGGAGGAGGAGGAGGAGGAGGAGGCGGCGGCGGCGGCCCCGTAGTGCGCCTCGGAGCGCCCGTAGAGCTCCCCGGCGGCGGCCGCCAGCCCCAGACGCATCTGCCCGTTGAGCGGCGGGTGGCGGCCGGCGGGCGCGCCCTGCTCGCCGGGCGGCGGCGGCGGGAAGGCGGCGTGCGCCCCGTCGGTCGCGCCGTAGGTGCCGGCGGCCGAGATGAAGACGCCGTGCGGTGGCGGGTGCGGAAGGTGGGGGGAGCCGGCGGGCGGGTGCTGCTCGCCCAGCGCCCCGTGCACGGCGGCGGCGGCGGGCAGCTCCCGCCGCAGGAGAAAGTCCCGGCCCGCCGCCCTTACAACTGACATGAATCAAGGGAAGTTTATTCTCTATACTTATAATTGGGGCATCAGAAAGAATACAGGGATGCCATACTTGTATATTTATTGAAAAATGTATAAACAAGCTACGGCTAAGTGAAAAATAAATGCTGACGGCAATTATGCATCAGGACCTCAAATGAAGAGCTGTTCCTAATTCTTGCATAAGCAAATTCCATAATTAAAGATCAGCTCTTTAAAAATCGTCAAGAACCAGAACTACGACTGGCATTGACAGCGTTCAGCCTGAGCAGCAGTGTGAACTGCACCCACCTTTACAGTAATCTGCGGGATCCTCCTGCTCCTCATCGTCGGAGCCCAGAATCTCCTCCTCGGGCTCGGGCGGGGCGGGCTCCGGCGGCGGCGGCGGTGGCGGCGGCGGCGGCGGCGGCGGTGGTGGTGGCGGCGGGCGAGGCGAAGGCGGCGGCGGTGAGCGCCTCGGGCGTGAGCTTGAGGGCGGCGGGCTGCGCCATGTGCTCGGGTCCGAGCGGCGTGAGGGCGCCGCCGGGGTCGCCGCCCGCGTCCCCGGGGTGGAGGTGGGCCGCGTGGTGGGGGTGGACGTGGTGGTTCCCCAGCCCCGGGAAGCCTGTCATGTTCTGGTGAGGATGGGGCTGAGCCGCTGCCAAATCCGCTAATCTCAGTGTCGGGTTCCTCTTGCTCAAAGGGGGCTCCATAACGACACAGCCGAGCCCATCTACGCTCGCTGTTGTTATTTTTTTCCCTTTACCCGCCTTCAAAAACATGTATATATTAAGCGGCTCTTTAACTTCTTTTGTCTGCGCTCCGAGCCCCGCGCATCCCTGGCCCCGCTCTGCCCGCCCGCGATTGGCAGAGCCCTCACCACACTTCGGCGGCGCGCTGGGGAATACGGCTCGGACACCGCGCCGGAGGGATTGGACGGATGGCGATGATTGGCAGCGGCCGGGGCCGCGCGATTGGCTCCCTTTCAGGCCGCCGGCGCAGTGGGGATCCGCCCCCGCCGCCCCCCCGGGCCCCCCGCGCCGCCCCCCGAAGTTGCACTTGCAAAACTTCGCGCGGGGCCCGACGGGGCGCACCCGGCGCCTCCCCCGCCGCCCCCCGCCGGCAGCACCGGGCAGCACCGGGCAGCAGCTGCCTCTGCTCCCCAGGCACCGGACGGGGCGCCCTGCTCAGGTGCTCCGCCGTGTTTACGTTTGCGGGGCCGTGGGGTTTCTTTCCTCGCCTGGCGGCAGCCCACGCGCACGGCTGCTGCCCGGCTCTGCGCTCGCTTTCCTTATCTTTTTTTTTTTTTTTTTTTGGAGGGCCACGTTCATTCATGGATGAGGCGGGAAAGCACTCCCTCATGCAACAATGCGAGCAGCCCCACACCCACGCGAGGCCGAGCCTGTGTGTACTCATGCCCAAGGCACCACTAGGAGAAGGCGGCCAAAGTTTTCCTGAAAAGAAGACGGCGGGGGTTGGGATTCCTTTCCTTTAGAAAATAAACGAGTAAGCGGGGAGGGGAGGAGGAAGGGGGGCAAGTGGCACATGTTAGAGCCAAGTTTTGGGAGCCTGCGCTCGCTGCCACTTTGGGGCTTCCTCCTCCCGCAGCGGCTTCCAGGGGCATCCCGTGGGGAGAGCCACCCCACGCCCCTCGGCGGTCCTCCAGCCGTACTCCATGGAAGCTGCATCCCCTTCAGCCCTAACTCAGCAGCGGCGAAATAGAGAGGAAACCCCCGCAGTGATACTGGCCCCGAGCATAAATGCTCCTCGACTCTTTAGGATGTCGGAAGGTGGGTTGGGAAATGAGGGTCTCCGGCCGGTGTGTGTTGGCCCTGAGCCGCTGCCCCAGACGAAAAGGCAGGAAAAGTGGGAGCTCTCCTGAAAGGGGGCAGAGGTAGAGGACGGGCGGGGACAGTGATAGGACCGCCCCTGGGGTGCGGGGTGTGCTGGTCCTCGAAAGCGAAGCTCTTTGTGGAGCGCCGAAACTGGCCCTTCGGTACAAAGGATGCTGCCCTTTGAGGGGGTTGACTAGGCAAGGCCGGGATTTCCCTGCGAGCCAAAAGGGGAAAGGAGCACTGTCGTGACTTTTCTGTGGGAGGAGAAGTAGCTTTCACTGATATGTCATCTGCCTCCTTTAGGCTGTTGGTCCCCCTGGGAATGCCTTGAGCTCCTGCGCTCCTGGAAAGTGCAGGCAAGCTGGCTGCACTTCCCTGCCTGCGGGGCAGCCAGGGACACTTCTCCGCCTCTCCAGGAGAGGAAACAGGGCGGGGGACGCCAGCGGACCCACACGTACCTCCGGCTCTCCCCGGCTACATAATCCCCTTGACGAAACTACATCTGTGTGTCTTGGCCGCTTCCCTGTGCCAAGCCACGTTCAAAGGAAGCCCCGTGCTGGTCCGGCATTTCCTGGGCCAGGCTCCAGGCTCCCCCTCCTCTGCTTCTCCTGCCGCTACTCGCGGAGGGAAACTCGCAGGATTTGGCCCACGGCTGCCAAAAGCGGGGTGAGAGGCTCTAGGGGGAGCTCAAGCGGGAGAGAGACCCGCCGGTTCCCTCCCTTCTCTCCCTCCACCGGAGACGAGCCAATGCTCCCGGTTCGTGTGGCCGCCGTGGGGGTTTCAGTGATGCTGCAAGGCAAGGAATGGGAATAAATGATCCCCGGGTTTTCAAAGCGGCTGCTCGATGGTTTTATTGCACAGTAAAAACTTCACGCAAAGTAGCCATACGTCTGTGGGGGTATTTATATACACATATTTTCTACATGTCCATCCAAATAGTGCCCTCCCTCCTCCCCAGATTCTGGGTGCACCTCTGGAGCAAGGTCCAGAGATGGAATGGTTTGATGGGAGATGCTGTGGAGGTGAACAACAAGTATCACAGCTCCGCGGAACCTTCTGCATGCCTCCTTGTTCCTGTCCTGTTAAAAGCAGGTGATGTGTATCTGTCATCGATTTAATATGTCTTAATTCAAATATATACCCCGATCAATTTCTTTTTATGAGAGGCTATAAAAAAATTGAATTATTTTATAGCTGGCTAATAGGCAGCTGACCTGTGACTGTGGGGAGGGAGGGGTTGATGGAGGCTCACGTGGAAATTCGCTCATTTTTAGGACTGGCTGAAAACGCCGGGCAGAGAATGTGGCTGCCCGCGCAGGGACAATTTTGGACGCTGCCAGCTCCAAAAGAGCCATGAAGAATTTAAAGCCCGTTAACTCACCGAAACCAGCTCAGGCCCAGGCTGCCGCTGCCCCCGGGCTGCAGCAGAGGCGAGGCGTGCTGTGCTACCCCACAGCCCCCCACAACACCGACAGCGCCCGTCGGGGGTCGGAACGCGCCCTGCTCCCCCGGCGGAGCCGGCTGCAGAGCCCTCCCTCAGTGCTCCGCTCGCCGGCAGCCCTGCCAAGGGACATCGGGGGAGGCTGCAGAGGCGGGGTGAAAGCCTGGAAGCCTTCAAATTTATTTCGTAAAGCTTCCTCTATAAACTGAGCTCGGGCTTTAGGAGGTGTTTAACCGTAAAACGCTATGCTGTGAGCTGCATTATGTAAATGTATGCTAATGATCATGAACACCATTTACAAACAATCGTCTTTAATGCACGTCTTATTGATAGTTAGGGAGCGGGGAGCAATATTTTATAAGGTGTGAAACATTCTTCTGGGGAACCATTAGAAAGGGAGCGCGACTGCCGCTTTCCCCGGGAAGACCTGCAAGACTCCCCAAAAACGCTAGAAAAGCCTACCCTCCTTCCGACCCGTCTCGGGTGGCTTTCTGCGCTCGTGGGGCTGCTCTGCGGCGCGGGTCCCTCCCCGAACATGGGCCATCGGAGGTGGAGTCCGCCCGTGGCAGGAGGGAGCGCCCCTAGTCACAGCCCCGTGCAGACCCGCCCGGGCGGGACGGAGCCACGGTACCCCGCTCACTGTCCCTTCTGGGGGATAGTACGGAGGGGCCGGGACCTCGGCCGAGAGGCACGAAAGGGAAAGAGAGTAGCGATATGGCAGTGAGACACCCCATCCCTTCTTTATCCCTGAGGGGCTCAGCGGATGGATAACATACACTCTTAAAAATTAAACTTCTCCTGTGCCACATGTCGTCGCTCCGTGCGTCCAGGCGGCAACCTGGAGCTGACACAAGGATCCGGGGCGAGGGGCTGTCGGGGCAGGGAGCCGCAGCACCTTTGGGACAGGGATTTACCAGCATAAGTTTCGGGGCTGTCGTGTTCAGTGCACGCATCGCCAGGGAAAGAGGGGCCATCCCCTTTGGGGTTTGCTCAGTTACGGGCAAAATAAGGGAAAAAAATTCCTTCTTTCTATCATCTATCTATCTATCTATCTATCTATCTATCTATCTATCTATCTATCTATTCATCTATCTATCCATATGTCTATCTATCTATCCATATATAAAGAAGGAAAGAGGTAAAGAGAGAGGCGGTCTCAGGAAACCCAGGCCAAATTTTGCTCTGCTCTCTCTCTCTTTCCCCCTTCCCCTTTCTCTGAACGTCACCGTTGGAAGAAGCTGTTGAGATAAATCAAATAGTGACACTTTGACGGCTTTACTTGTATAAGCAATATGGTTACCATATGGCATTGTTATTTATGAATGACAGCATAAATTGTATTACAAAGTCCATCGTGCTTTATTGGGACGCTTCTCCCCTGCCTCTAACGTTTATATGGGCATCTCCAGATGGAAAAAGGTGCATCTAATAAAACCCGGCAGCGCTGCGGCAGACCCGTTTTGGGGGGCGTTGTGCCGGGTCTGTGCTGCCTGCAGAACGAGCGGCGCAGTGGGGCAGGGCCCGCAAAATACGCGGCGCTGCGCGTCCCTCAGCCGCAGCTGGGCAGGGCAGGGCAGGGCAGAGGCACCGGCTGCCGCTCGGCCGAGGTTCCCGTCCTGGAAAAAAGTGCTACACTGCTCCTGGCCTCCGCCGTCTCACGGCATTACCGCCGAGAGAGGGGTTTTATAAATATAAAAGTGCAACTGAATGAACAATAAATATTAATGGCACGAAAGTGAGGTGCTCCTTCCTTCTGTCCCTGCCTAGTGTATTTTCTTTCCTTTTTTTTTTTTTTTCTCCTTTTTTTTTTTAATTAAAAAAAAAAAAAAAGAGTTTAAAAGTTACAGCTTTGGCTGAGATTTTCATTATTTCCCCTATTTCTTTTACATTACTCTGCCGGTAGAGCCTGACAAAGAACTTTTGTCTCGAAGTGTGTGTTTTACAGAGGGAGGCTAGAGGACAACACATGTGGTCTTCACGGGTCATAGGTCGAACGGCCTAGAAGTGGCTCGGATCGGCACCATCAAAGGTAACCTGCAACTTAATATCCTGTTGATGAGCTTGTTGAATTTATGAGTGTCTGTGATACAGACAACGGTGCAAGTGATGCTGCTCAACTGGCCTCTTCTTACCAGGCTACGGGCCGGCCACACTCTCCCTCCTCGTCCCCTTGCTGCGTTGGAAGGCTGAATTTTGGTGGAAGGACACCCTCTTCCCCCTTTCTCTCTCCCTCTCTCATGCACACACCCGTCTCCGGTGGGTCCTTCCGCCTCTTTTTCCCGACGAGGCCGTCGCCAGCCGCATCCTCTCATGGGCAGAGCCCCCGGCCCCACCGCAGCCTGAGCTCCCACTGCGGCACCCATGGCTGCCAGGGAGGGGGCATGGAGAAAGGGGGCGCGGAGCCTCCCCAGAGGGCGGTGACACCTCTCGGGAAAAGGATTAGAAGGAGAAGGCAATACATACAGTTCAGGGGAAACAAGAAATTGCTCTCCCCTCGTCCCGCCTTTCCCCCTCCACACCCCTCTCCAGCTCCCTTCGCATCACTAACCCGTAAGAACAAGAGAGGAGCAGTTTTAAAGCGAATTAAGGAAAACTTACAAAGACGGGAAAGCTTTCCTGGGGAAGCTGAAGTTTGCTCTGTAGGTCTGGCACCTCCAGAAACCTGTTGAAAAACTTCTTTCAATAAAACAGTCTACCACCGACTTCGGGTGACCACTTGCTTTCCTCCCCGAAAGCTGCCATGAGCCGCAGGCTGTGTTGGTGGCGGTGGCCCGACAGGAGAGTGCGGGGCTGGCTGCCGGTGCCTCTGCCCCCCTCCCTTCTTCCCTTCCTCCCTCGCTCCCTTTCCTTGTTACCCTGTGACATCGGGGAAAGGGGTTTTGCGGTTCAGAGGCAAATAAAGCACTTCTTAGGAGGGACGGCGACGTGACTTTGAACTTGGATCAGCTCCTCTGTTTCCTGCAGAGAGAGTAGGGCTGGAGCCCTGAAAGAATAGCAGAAAGCGGCCAGCCAGCGGGGGCTCCGGATGGAATTCACTGCGTCCCCCCGAAAGAGCCCCGATGCCGGCACTGCTGAGCAGGCAGAGCGAGGGGCGAGGGGAGGGAAGGCAGGAAATGCAGAAAAATAAGGTAAGGAGAAGAAAGAAAAAGGAGACAAAATGATAAAGGAAGTGAAAAAAAAGAAAAACAGAGAAAGGAAAAGGAAGGAAGGAAGGAAGGAAGGAAGGAAGGAAGGAAGGAAGGAAGGAAGGAAGGAAGGAGAAAGAAAGAAAGAAAGAAAGAAAGAAAGAAAGAAAGAAAGAAAGAAAGAAAGAAAGAAAGAAAGAAAGAAAGAAAGAAAGAAAGAAAGAAAAGGAAATCCAGAGGGTAGATATTTGTATGAATATTCACCTTTGCTATTATTTTTTTTCCCCACAACTGTTTTGAACTGCCAATTTTCTTGCACATATTTATTTTTTTCTAATCTTACATGCAGTAAATTCTTGTAAATCGGGGGCGGGGGGGGG